GCACGATTCCAATTTTGATTACTCGTTTTGATTACTCGTAGCCTGATGCAGACTTGATGTCAACGTTGTGCTATTCCGTGCGCAATAAAATGTCTTGGAACCTTCTTTCTTAGCTGTATTCTCCAAAACATGCACGATTCGAATTTTGATTACTTCTGGCCTGACGAAGAGTGTCAATGTCAACACTGTGCTTGTCTCTGTGTATGCAGAAGTACGAAGTGAATCAGGAGAGGAAGGATGCGCAGGTTGCCGTGGACAGCCAGGTGATGGATGCGGTACGCAAGTCCTCCGATAAGAAGCTGCTATTCGGCTACATGGGAACGATGTTCTCTCTGAAGAACCACCAGTACCCACACAAGATGGTCTTCTGAGTGCTTCGTTTAATCGTTTGTGCTGTACAAAATAAATAAGGTGCCTGTGTCTGGAAGAAGACATTCTTGCGTTCATCTTTTCTGTCGCTGTAGCCTCGTAACCTCGTAAATATTAGTTCAAGGAACTATGTCGAAGTCGGAAAGTGACAGAAGTGGATCAAATGGACAGATGTAAGCTGTGGTTTTATTGGCGAAAATTCCCCTGCGCAGGGTTGCATTTTCTTTTCATTCTAGTCCTATCTCACATTCATGAAGAATATTGTCAATGAAAGCAACAATATTGTCATAAACAAGTAATTCTCACTTTTTTCTATATAAATATTGTTCGTAAAAATTACTATGCAAACTTATTGCAGTATAAATAGTGTATTACTTAACAGAGTACACCTATTTCTTTCATGAATCATCAAACCAGTGTTTCAAGAGTAGCAGTCTTGCAACCTGGAACCTAATGCAGAGCTAAACAAAACTTATTATTTAACTATATAAATTTTATCAAATGGTTTGAAGTCTAAGTAAAATTCATTTTGAATGGAACTATAATGTACCAATAGTAAGGATTAGTTTTGATGTGGTTTCATAATATGTGTTTTTAATAGTCAACGTTTAAGGCTAAATCTTATACATGACATGTTAAAAGGATACCATGCCCTAGAATTTGTTTTAAGACGTTAAAAAAAATTCTAGTGAATACATATAACAATGATATTTTTTATGCAGCGTAGTTTGAACCTAATTTAACTGAGTTTATGCAAATAATGAACCTTAGGTCATGTGCCTCTTTAAAGGATACAAAATACACTATCACGTTAAATTTTAATATCACTGGAGAAACGTGCAAGCACCTTGATAACTCTTAACTATCACGTACTCTAAACCCACATTCTCATTACAGAATGCCTGAAACAAGGAGTCTTACTGTTCATTGATTAATAAGGAAGGCAGATTGGGATACGCGTGTAAGCATAGGCAAATAGTTGAACAGAAGTTATGGAATATTGGAGTAGTGTAGTTATGCTATATGTTTCTTACTCGTCATAAACGATCTTTGTACACCAGTGGTGGCGTAACTGTATGTACTTGCGCGTATATTTGCCCAGGTGCAGAGCCATATAAATATATAGAGGAACGAGAGTCGACATACTTACATGTATTAACCTATGATCATATTATAGTATTCATACTATATTCATATTATATATTATTATATGATTCATACTATTTATGTCTTAATATATGTGATACTTATCATATGATTATATATTATATGTCATCATATTATTATATATTATATCTATATGATTATATATACTATATTATACTTATTGAATATATTTTATATTATATATTATATGATATTATATTATATATTATGTAGTACATTATATATATACTTATATACTGTATATATATATTTTATTATCTACCTAGTCTCTATATTGATTTCTATGTGTAGCGCATTAAGGTTAGCTGAGTGGGGGTTGAAACTACCAATTTGTTCAAAATATGACCTTTAAACTTTTTTTTACTCTACTAATTAATTTTAGTATGTTGGTCCTCTTCCATTTTCAACATTAATTGCTTATAACTATACTGTCTAAACAGCGTCTAAACATTTTAGCATTTGTAATGTGATTTTAAAATTTTACAACCGGACTAGCATCTGGAAGTGAAATTTACACACTAACATCACAATCTTGTTGGCAATAAGAAACAATATGAATTCGTTTTTGGCTTCTCAACTCATCACTAGCGTGCTGCCTAGCATCAAATATCAGCATAGACGAAAGACAAGCTTAGGCAAAATTTAGCAGCATAGGCAGTCACATCGTGTGTATCGCCAGGGTTCATTGTAAGATGGTATCTCCGCTGAGAGCCGATGGTAAATTTTTATAAATTTCTCTGTAATATGCCGTCGGCATCTGACGTTGTGATCCGCATATTAAGTGTGACTATTATCAGTTTAACACAAAATAATAAACACACATATCTAAAAGGCAATATGCTTAAGCGAGTCAAATTTGCCGCCGAAGTATACAATGTTAAAAACAAGAAGGACGATTTGTATGGCAACAAATTCACTAAATATTGTGGTAAGAACGCCGACCGAAGTGAACAATTTACATTGCATCCAAACGTAAGATTAAATTATTCCATTGAACTTAACGTCTACAAAAAACAGTTCCAGTAATTTTGTTAATAGCTTTGCTGTTTGTATGACATGACTAATATTTAATTGATTAATGACAAAGTGGGCCGTTGTCTAGAATGTCAGTCGCCAATATCTTGTCGGTAACACCGATGTCCTAGACCCTCTGGCGTATGGTTTGCGCCTGGGTATCACCGGTCAAAGTCGTTGTTCATTTATCAAATGTCAAATTTCGACCTTTTGGCTGCACAGTGCTTTAGTCTGCTGTCTTTCTCTTTATCTTTAAGTTCACAATCCATTGAAATTTGCACCTGTTTATGCTCAAGATATATCATCCTAGGACTAAACTCAACGATTATATATATCTTTATACATTGTCGGTGGCAGACAACCTGTTATGCATATATAATCGGGAGGCTCGCCAAAACTAAATTCTTAATTAAGTTGGGGGTCCTATGGCGGGCGCAATTGTATATTTGTTCGTAACAGCTTTTTTTTAGTTTAAAGCTCGCATTTAGGTTGGTCTAATAAACTGATTTATAGTTTTCTTTTAAAGTTTATGATGTATGTTTAGTAATTTTTGATGCGCGAAAATATGAATAGGGTCAAACATGAGGTTCAACTTGGTTGCCATGGCAATGCTAACTTTGCATAATCTGTGAAATCAAACAATTTTTTTTGCTTAATGGTTGGATGCCCAGCGGACACAATGATAGGTGATATTAAAGTACTTAATATTCATGTATCAAAGAACATTTCTTCAACGCCCACTAGCTACCTTAAAACGCACGTTTGCTTACTACGTCACCGTAATGTCGCTGTAGCAATAGAAAGGAGTACTAGCAACATAATCTACACATGTATACTCAATCGTTAGCGAAGCAGGGAGTTAGAGCCGTGACCTAATATCCACGGGGCATATATTTTTTGGGGGCGGTGATTCGGCTTGCTTATGGGTTCTATATTATACGCGGTGATATACTCCACAACTAAGAATTATTTGTCGCAAAACTAGTTCGGCATTTAAAAAAAATAATATAAATCAATTTTTTTTTAAATATTGCAAGATAGCTGAGGCAGCACCGTTCCTGCTTGCCATGACGACCCCGCGACTCAAAACTACGCAAGCGTCGAAACCAATGTTGTCACTATGAGCACGTAACGTGGCACCGCGTAATCTGTGTGTATAATGTGTGTGTATGTGCGTCGTGTGTGTGTGTGCTGTGTGTCGTGTGTTGTGTGTGTGTGAGTGCGTGGTGCGTGCGTGCGTGTGTGCGTGTGGCGGTGCTGCGTGTGCGTGTGTGTGTGTGCGTGCGTGGTGTGTGCGTGTGCGGTGGTGTGCGTGTGCGTGGCGTGTGTCGCCGTGGGTGCGTATGTGTCCTATCTATAATACACTCATGCGCACGCGCACGCACAACACGCAACAATCGAGCCTCAGTGACGATGCCCGAACGAGTGAACCAGTCATTGTGATGAAACCACCGACCCTCTAGAGACAGTATGAAGCTGAAAATCTTAGCAGATTCGCCTGACCACTCGTAATACGCGAACCGGCAGCTCGATCAGCTGATAATAAATACGATTAATCGAATAATCAGTACGATACGTGGATAATGGAAGCGCGAATGTTGACTTCGCTGTGTGCACTCACTACACTCATAATCATCGCTGCAGCAAACGATAGTTCACGCGCAGAATTTAGAGACGGCGGGGATGCCATGCTGGCGAAATCCAATCTCACATCAGGATGCAACGACGACGGACTCGATGACAGCGTCGATGCAGGAAGTCGTGATAGAACGGCGAGGAGCGAGGCAAGGTTGTTGTCGTTAGCGAGAACTACGGCAGCACGGCAGCTGCTCTTTCTTCACGATGCGCCGACGTTGATACCGTCGTCGCCAGGAAACGAAATGCAAATGCTGCCGTCGCCAGGCAACGAAACGCTTCCGTCGCCATGCAACGAAACGCAAACGCCGTCGTCATCAGGCAACGAAACGCTGCCATCGCCAGGCAACGAAACGCAAACAGCAACATGGCGGCTTCTATCACCCGGCTTCGTCATCCTGTGGGACCGCTACCTACACGCGTCCGTGGGCGTCTTCGCTCTCTCTCTCTCCGTCTCCTGCCTCGGCGTCGTCTTCAACGCTCCCGTCTTCGTCGCGATCTGCAGCATCCGTCGCAAGACTCCCATCCTCGTTCTCGTCGGCAGCCTCGCGTGCTCGGACCTGCTGCTCGCTGTGCACGGTCTGCTCATCTCCTGTCACATGCGCGTCGTGCGGGGTCACGGGGAGGTCACCGGCGCGTGGATACACGTCTGGGAGATGTTCAACATGTTCTTACTCTTCGTGTCCGGTTCGAGTCTGTGCATGATTGCCATTGATCGCTACGCGGCCGTCCTGAAGCCGATACGACACCGACAGGTGGCGCGGTCGGCGCGCATGGCCGTCGTCGTCGCCGTGCAGTGGGGCGTCGGTCTCTGCCTCGGGGTGGCGCTGCTGTCGCTCAACCTCATCCGTCATCACCGACGCGACCTTTTCGTTTATTTCTCGTTGTTCATTGCCACGTTCGCGCTCGCGATTCTCGTCTGCATCTGCGCCGTCTACGTCTGCCTCTTCGCCACCTACCGGCTGCACCGACGCGCGGCGGCGACGCTGGCGCCATCTGGCGGCCGCCAACGCGCCGACGTTCGGCTGGCGTGTCGGCTCGTCGTCTGCGTCGGCGTGTTCGCCGCCTGCTACGCACCGATCGTCGTCGGCAACCTCGTGTCGCTCTGGCGCTGGAGCTTCGGCGACGACCGCTACTTCTACGTGCAGAACGGGGTGTGGACGTCGCCGGGCGGACTCACCGAAGTCTACCTGCTCATACTCGCTCGCGGCTGCGCTGTGGCGAACCCTCTGATGTACGCCTGGTCG